TAAACATTTATCTTATGTTCTGACATCAATAAATTATTATTATTATTATTATTATTATTATTATATCCTTTTCTAATGAGTTAAAAATAATGCATCTGCATATGAACCAAAATGACCCAAACAAAATAAAAGGTGTGGTTGAAGTGTATGAATGTAGTAACACGCCGAGTTTGTAATGGCGTAACCCTCTTGAGGCCGATGTGATCGTTCGCACGTGCACACGTTTCGGCGCCCGATTCTTAGTATTTAACACAATTGCCAGACCACCAGGATGCGTACGAAAATAATATGGTTATAGGCCGCACTCTAATATATCGTCATATTCGGAAATGGTTTAGTTTGAAGTTTACGTATTTTACAGTAAAAATAAACCACGATAAAAGACCAATTTCTAACCCGAACCTGTTGACATCAAATTCATTGGAACGTAGCAGCCATAGAAATATTTGAGAGACAAAAAACTATTACACAACAACTTAAAAAAAAAGTCATTACTGCAGTAGGTATTTACAGTTTCATTTTCAAGTCGATGTCAAATGAAATAACAATTGAAGCGGTAGAGATATTTCGGTTCTCCTCCCAATAGCGTCCATTAATGTTTTTAACTTTGCTGACACTTTTTTTTCTTATAACACTTTGAAATTCCTTTCAACCTACATATTAATTTAAAAATCGCAAAGCTAATTTCAAACAGGAAACAAAATTGNTATTATTATAATAGTTTAAATTTTTCCCCTGTTCACTTTGTCTTATATGCGAATGTTATACTTTTTGCACACTACGTATGTGAACTTTTTGGATATGAATTTAGAAAAAATATGCTAAAGTCGGAATACAGTTTAATGGAAGATTTAGATTCCAACAGAACGATTGCCTTAAACATGCCCTATAATGAAATGTTGCTCCTTTCGAGCCTACAGAGTCTACAACTTTAAAAAAAATCGAATTTGGCAATATCTTGACATTTATTTCACAAAAATTTTAGTAGTCCTGTTTTTCTATGGTGCATGAGGGTCAAAAATAATTTTCATTCTGTGCTTATATTTAAATAGCGCTAATACTGTTGTACTTAATTTTTTTAATGTCCTCCCCATATAGGTAGGTTAAAGTAAAATAATAAAAATCTTGCTTAAGTAAAAATGGAATACTAGTTAAAACTCAAATAGACCAACAGATTTCAGAATAACAGCAATTTTTTGACTGGTTATATGTTAAACAGGAACAAAGGCTTGTTAAACAAACTTCAAAAAAAATTTTATTTAATTATTAACTAATTTAATTTAGTAACAAAATGAATTCACTTTATATTCAACTCAAACATAGGATTCTAAAAAACATATTAGTGAAATATTTCTGGTAAGGTATATATAAATATTTCCTTGGCTAAGGTTTTAATTATTATCTACAGCATATTTAGAACGAAACGAAATTTGTTTTATTCATTCTGCAGTATAGATAATTATTTTTGGAGCAAATTTTGTTTGGATGCCTATTATTTAGAATTGCTGTGACCAAAACGTTTTTCATAAGCATGTTAATATACACACCATTAGTTTTACTGTTAGAACAATCATTATAACGAGGCTTAAAAAAAATTATGAAAAATTGCTTTTTCGAAAAAGACAGACACACTGTATAAGGTGTACCAAAAAACTCGACTCTACACAATTAAGCATGATATTTTATAAAAAAAAAGGTCCACCTACGTTCTACCTTCGTTATTTATTATTCAGTTTTACAACTTCGTTCATAAAATGACAGTTATAACAGCAGTTGCTCTTGCAAGTCATATGCCCATAAATAAAAGCACATTTTATTATTACGTTATAAATGACATGGAGCGATATTACTAATTAATTGTAGATTTATTAGGACTTGGTAATACATTGTTTGTATTGTATAGGTTAACGTATACTAAGTGGGTATGTTACAAACCAATGAGAACAGTATACGACTAGAAAAAAAGTAATTAAAAAATGTTTCCATTGTCAATATATGTTTAGGTATATATTATATTTTTTTCTTAAGTGAAAATATATCTATTTAAACTATAGTTAACTAAAAGCATACAAATTTAATGTAAGAAAAATTTAAATAGATATGAATCAAATTTAAATCGTATCTACTTTTTACTGTGTAGCCATATTAACTAATTGAGTTTATTCCAAGAAAAGAATAAGCCAACAAAGTTCTGTATATATATTGGCAGTACCAATTTACATCAAACCTATTTTGAGTTATTACAGGAAAACCAAAGCAATTAAATGGCAAAAATGAGAATCCAAATCCAGAGAGTCAATTTCTGCTTGATGGAGCGTAATAACCTGAGGTTTACACCAATATTTCGTTTTAAATTCTTTTAAATGAACTGTATATGATTGAATGAAAAATGATGCTTAATATTCTTGTCGCATTTCTTCGCCAAGAAAGCAAAAAACCCTGACTTTCAAAATCTATATTTTTTACAAAACAAATATTTTGCCACATTTTTTTCTCTACAGGGTGTCCCCTACGGAGATACAGACCCCTAAAGGATGCCCCTGAAAATCGATTTTTTGCAATAACTTTTATTAAAATACTTTGTATAATTTAATTATTTTCTAATATGAAGGACGACAGATAAGATCCATAAAAATTTACCTATGAAAACAATTTGGCTTATTTGGTTTGCCTGGGATGGATTAGCACAAAAATAATTTTAGACAGCTTGAACTTTAAACTAAAAAAAACATACTCTTGGTCGATAAAATGAACTGTTTTCGAGAAAAAATTATTTTTGTTTAATATGATCTTTATTACATAATTTTGTACGTCAGTTCAACTTGAGCTCTTTCTAATGTTATGCATTCTCTAGGTTTACGAATTACAAATTGTTGGATCGAGGAGGCCAAGCCACTGGTCCTCTTCTTTCTATCCAACGATTTTCGAAATGCCTGTTTAAGTGTTTTCAAACTGCCAGACTAAAGTGGGGTGGTGCCCCCCATCATGCGTGAACCACATACCATGTCGTATTACCAAAGGTAGGTCGTCTAAAAGTTTTGGCAAGTTGTCTTGGAAAAATTCCAAATAAAGATCCCCAGTTAACCTTCTAGGCAATACAAATGGTCCAATGTGATGCCGATTATTCCGACCCATAAGTTAAATGGATTTAAACTGGTGCTGATAATGCGTCACAACAGAAGCATGTGGATTTTTTTCTGCCCATAAATGCAAATTATGGGAGTTTATGATTCCATTTTTCGTCCGTAAAGAGAATTGAACCGATGAAATTTGCATTGTTAAGTGCCTATCTAAAAGACAGTTTGAAAATTATATCCTTCGCGGAAAGTTTACAGGAAGAAGTGCATGGACTTTCTGTATGCGATAGTGATGCAATTGTTGCTCTGTAAGGATTCTAAGAACCATAGATTTTGGGCAATTAAACTGGGCAGCCAATTTTCGGACACTTATTGAAGGATCTGTTTCTAACGACATTTAGGATATCTTCTTCAGCGACCTCACCGCGATTGATTTGATTTCTACAATTGTGTTTGGCTTTCTCTACATATTACCTACTCAAAAAGTACTCTAATACAAGTAACAAATAAATTGTAATTTTCACCAGTCTCTCTTAAACGCTGATCCACTCTTTCAGAAGTGTTCCTGTCAAGAATTTTTCGATTTGGAAATCGTGCCTCATGAGTCCTCTGGCTTCTAAGGCCTTACATGATGCAAGTCCATACAACAAATGCATGTCAGCATATTCAGCAAACGTAAATTCCATTACGGCAAATAAAATAAATCCGAGGAATAAAAAAATAAGGAAAATATTACAAGTTTCGATACACTCTATCGTTAACTGACAGACTCAGATGGGTACTGTAATTCTTATTTAAGTCGGTAAATGTCAAAAACACATCCATAGCACCAAAAAACAAGTGTAAATAAAAGAAAGAATGTAAATTTTATCGGTTTATTTCTCTTTACGAATGTAATAAAAATCATATTAAACAAAAATAGTTTTTCCTTAAAAACAGTTCATTTTATCGATATCAATCAAGAGTAGCTTTTTTTTAGATGAAGGTTCAAGCTATCTAAAAAATATTATTTTTGTGTCTTTATCGTACAGGGTGTAAAAAAATTGACATTACTGTGCTACAGCTAGTCCGTCCCTGGCAAACCAAATAAACCAAATTGTTTTCATGGGTCAATTTTTAAAGGGTCTTATCTGTTGTCCATCATATTAAAAAATAGTTAAATTACACAAAGTATTTTAAAAGTTATTCAAAAAAATATTTTCAGGGGCATCCTCTAGGAGCCTGTCATGTTATTTTAACGTCTCCTCCTTTATAAATCCGAGAGGTTGCCCTCATATTCTGGGACACCCTGTATACACTGGGCAAATTCACTTTGCAACTTTTGACAGAAAAAAAATGAGTTGAATTTTATGAGATTTCAAAAAAAAATATTGTGATATATGCGTTGTGAGCTTATAAAAATTTTAATTTCTTCTGTCTGGTTGCCTTGACCTTCTACTAATAAAAAATAGTATATTTTAAAGATGAATATTTGGGAATGTATACTATTAACAAAACTGTGAGATTATGTCAATTTATGCGACAACCTCGATTTCTCGATTTTCCATTTACTTATCAACCTTCACGATAGGCATGCCATTTCTCCATATATGGTCTAGTCTTAAGTTGACCATTAAATTTTGGAAAATAATAAATTCTACACCTGTGTAATACTGACTACTCCAGGATATTATACAATGGGACTCCACTGAAAGATTATGTCTTCTTCAGACATGCAAAACAATGTGGCCCGTGGAAGCTAGTATCTCTGAAGACGACACCGAAGTAATCTAACGTTACCTGCCCCTTCTTTAAGGTTAGGAAGTAACATTTGATGCGGCTCTCGTCTGCTTACGACCGGTGACCATTGGACAAGTTGCAAAATTGTCTTCCGCCAGTTTTAAAAAGGCCGCATGAAATATTCTGGGAACAGTTCGTCACATGCTTAAGAATAGTGAATTTGCTTACCCCGTATAACATGAAGTGGTGTATTATATTGGTATGTAATTGAATTTAGAGAAATACCGCTTAGTTGTTCTTGGTCATTTTGTGTTGTGCTACGGTACAGTAGTGATATCGGTTTATTGTGGTTTTTATACCGGACTGTGGGTTACAGGGGGATTAATAATAGTGAACAATGTATCATATGTTAGCAAAACTTGATTTTGAATTGGTTTTCAATATTCAAATCATATCAAATGGCATAGATAGATGTCTTTACACTGGCAGATCTTAATATAATCGTCATAATTGCATTGCATTTGCAAACTGCATTGATGATAAAAAAATATATTTGATGGGTCTAAGAGAGTATCTTTGATTTATAAATTAAATTTAATCTAAATTTTGAAACATTTATACTTGTGTTACTATTTTTGTGTTTATTTTTGTTATATTCTATATACAGACTATTCGGCAAACAATGGTATTCCTTTTTCCTTTAATTTCATTTGAAGGTGGATCGTAATTCTTTCATTTTCGAGATACAGGATTTTGAAATTAGAAAAAAAAACATTTCTTGAAATATCTCTGAGGATAGATGAAACTTGAACCACTGATTTATCTAAATAGAAGTAAAAATTCACTATGTTGCCTTAAAAATATGTTAACCAGTGGCGGAGATATGAAGGGTTAGTATCACTAGGTGACTCAGAATTTCGATGCCAAAGTATTTCTAGGAAAAAAAATCTCTAAGTTCAAAAAATTATTTGGAAGTAAAAATTCTAATATACTTTTTAGGAGATATAACCATAGAAAATAAAAAAACTCTACGATAATAATTTTTTGAACTTTTGGCACATTATATTATTTATGTATTTAATGTTCTATTTCTAACAAAAAAATGTCAAATTGTTTTTATAGAACGAATAGTTTTAGAATTATTTTAGATTTATTTAACTGTTGTAAGCTTACTTTAATATAATAAAAATCTAAATTCTAAATCGGTTCTTGCTTTGAGCAAAATTAAGAGATCTTTTTTCTTAGAAATTCAATTGGTAAAAAAAGCACGAAACTAATTTGCAGAACACTCATTCTGAGGCTCCTAATGGTGTTGACCCCTCGTATCTCCGCCTCTGGTTAACACATTTTTAAGTCAACTTAATGGGCTTTTACTTCTCCTTATATAAATCTGTCACTCAAGCTTTATCAGTCTACATCAAAGATCCTCAGATAAATTTCAGAAAATGTGATATTTTTTTCTATTTTCTTTTTCTAAGGTTTTCTTTCTCTAAATTTTTTCCAAGACTAATTGCATTAAATGCAGTTTTGTAAAATCTGTTTTACATTTAACAATTTTTCATACAACAAATTTTCAAGAAATTGAAAAGAAATTTAAAAAAATGGTAGAAATTTCTTAAATTTAATGTATTCACAAAAAATGGCAATGATAGAACCAGTTCCAGTTTATTGGCCAATTTTGGGGACATCAGTGTTAGTTACGTTAAATATTATAGTTGCCTTCCGCTATTTTGGCAGATTTAACACTTCTTTTTATTAATATCACATGATTATATTGAAACATCGATATGATTTTTTTTTCTTTCATAACGTAACTTCTACATACTATGAATTAAATATATTGACATCAAAAATTAACATTAAAAAACTAGATTGCTAGAAATTTTGTAAGTATTACTATATTTTAGTTTTATATTTTATTCTAAAAGTTGATAGTTTTATGTTCTGTCAATAAATTGAACAGTATATTCTACCACATAAAATGGTACCATAAATATTATTATCACATGAACATAAATTATGACAATTATTGGGTGAAAAATTTGTAAATGTAAAATAGATTTGGGAATATCTTTATTATTTCGATAATATAAAGGTAATATATAATTAATTGATACTAATTATATTTAAATACATCTTGACTAGTATATTAATATCATTGCGATCAAGTTGCCATGTTGATTATAAGATCATTATAAAATTATATAAACGTTAAGATTAAATATTAGGGTTCAAGTCATTATAACTTGTTTATGTGTTATTTATTTTTGTATTATTTCTTATAGTAAAGCTTTATAATTCTCAATAATATTCAATAACATTGTAAAATTGAAATTCCACTCATATCGCACTCAATAATGTATCAATTTATGTTATTTTCACTCTATTATTTATACTAGCAATTACATTATTAAATATTATTGAGTTAATTTTTACTCAAAATTTGAATATAGTTAAATTAATTACATGCCATATATTTACGTATTTAACTTTTTGTCTATTCATTTGACATCATAATTAAAAAACATAGTTTTCAGCATGAAATTATTAGAATATAATTTCACACATATTCAAAGGTGTTTTTGTAAAAGGTTATACCTTAGCAAATTTCTTGAAATGGGTGCTTAAAAGAAAAGGGAGTCAATAACCAAAAATAGAACTCAAATTCAAAAAGAAATTATTGGACAAAGCCAGTGGATTTATAGCATTATAATAATGGTATAAAACCTTTTAATTTTACTGTAACAGAAACTGATCAGACGAATAGATGTTATTATTAGAGATCGGATATGCTATTTTTACTAATGGTGACGAAGCATCAACTACTTCACATTTTAGTAATCTCATTATCCGTGTCATTGTACAATACCTAATATGTACATGTCTGCCTCTGATATGAAGCCTCGCATCGATCAATTTATTCGATACGTATCTAGAGGCACCCTAATGCCTGCCCTGTCGGCCTGGCGTGCCGTGCATTTCATTGTCGTTTGTGTGAGTGAGTTTGACGCTTTGCTCAGTCCAGTGCATGGCACGTGTTTTTATGTCAGTCAATAGGATTGTGTATCGTGAGCATAGAACGGCATACGGCTTAAGATGGCCTATCAATGGAATGTAAATTCGGTGGTGATAAACAACCGTCAAAAAAACCTCCTGAGTGGGTAATTTGGAAACACTCACTCAAATTTAGTAAGAAATTAGATTTTTAGATTATTATTATAGTAGAATGTAATTAATCAGTTTTTGTTCAAATATTATTATACATGAGTAAAGTTTTCAAAATACTCAATACTAAATTAAAAAATATCCAATAATTTAACTAATTATAACTCAGTAGTTTTAATTTGTTCACTCACGCCAATTATTTATAGTGCAGTATCAATCAATATTAGCATAATCAATAGTATTTTATTATAAGTGTTACGGTATTTCAAATTTACCTGATCAGTTTCTAAAATGTCAAGTTAATCTATGAAAAATATGTCACTATATTTGTTACAAAAACTGCTTGAAGATGGAGATGACTTTTACAAAATAGAAATGATATGATCATATGAGACCTCATATGATTTAAGATGAATTTACTTATTTCTAATTGAGTACTTTTTTCCATGTTGTTGGGTACCGTCAAATATTTTTTAAGTAATTATTGTATGTATACATTGTTGCAATGTGTTATATTATTATTAGCTTAATCAACATCAAATTGCACATTCACCAATTACCAAAAACTAACACCATACCCGTTAGAGTTAGCTTCCTTTGTTCTTGTAATTTTTTTGATAATACTCCTATTTGGAATAAAAAGAGTGTACCAGTGTATTTAGGTATTTATCATTGCTGGCAGCTGATGCAGATTTTATTAAAAAGAAAATTATGCCAATAATAATCAACGTAATAGTACCGTAAACTTTGTAAAAACTATCTGTTCTGCATATTAAACCGCAATAAGTGGTACACGGCGTTGGTTATTAAAAACAATTCGATCCCGTTTTGATCCAAATATTTTTGTATTAAAATAAGTCTGGCAAATACGGCTAAGGTAAAAGTTAAACTACATATTTATACGCAAGAGGTCCCAAATTGTAGAGGCTAAACTTTAGGTATTACAGAAACTGAAATAAGAAAGAAATTGTTAAAAATGCAAATTTATTTAAATATTTCTGTGTCTCTAATAAAATCCATATGTATTCAAGTTGAAATCCGCAAAAAGTTTATTTTTAAATGTTGACAACGTTTAAAGAAAAACAAATAAAAATTTGTATTTTGCTTGTTCCCATTTAGGCCATTTATTTTTTTGGGTAAAATCTGGCGCTTCGAACATTAGAATAACCTGAATTCCATTACATTTAACGCTGAAAATTTTGCTATTCCACTCTAAATTTTCTGACAGACAGGAAGATTTTAATAAAGGAAATAATATTATGCACTGTTCGCACATTTAAAAAATCGTCACTAACACTTATACGTTGCATTCAAATAACAATATAACGAAAACTAAATGGGATATCAAAACATGTGGTTATAGAGGTTATAGACTAAATATCTCCATTAGCGCGTACTTCAAAAAGTTTGGCTATTTTCTGAACAGTTCTCGTAAGTTCATTCAATCATTTTTTTCCTCAAGGATCTATGTCGACATGTTAGTAAAAACATGTTAGGGACACCCTGTATGTTTACTTCATCTAAATCTTTTAGATGCGTAGATATTTGGAAGGTGTATTCTACATATTAATTTAAGGAAGGAATATGAATATTTAAAAGGGCGCGACCAAATTCTTTCTTAATATTTTTAATTTTCAAAATGTGACGCCCTGTATTGTTCTAAGAAAATACAACTTCCATTAAATAATTGGATGCATAAGACAACTACCCATCTATATTATAGGCTTGAGGCTAGAATCCATTGTGTTAAAGTCAGTCCTCCCAAATATGGATTCGCCGTAACGGGATCTGAATTTCTAACCACTACAATCCTTTTGATATTAGCGGTAACACATCTTCCTTCATAACCGAATCTTTGATCTTGTTTGTGCATCGTTACTAGGTAGAATATAATGGGCTTTCGCCGAGCGTATCCAATATCTAATTGCCGACATCCATTATTGAGCGCTGTGGTCGAGAAGGAGTTAATTTAAAAAATACAAAAGAAAATAATCAGATAAGTATCTATTTGAACTGGGAAGTAAATCGGGGAATTTCTGACATTGCAGGAACAGGTTAACAAACTATTTATTTTTATATGTCCATACACAGAGCAGGTCTGACTGAACTGGTACGAATGTTTGCAAGGAATGTAGAGCTAAAAGAGGTTCAAAGATCAGTGGAGGCAATACGGTAAACATATGTAGTCAATTATTTCTTCATTGTTGTCTAAAATTATGTTGAAAACTCAATTTCAATTTCTGTGTTTCAGCTTTCATATTTCTTTTAAACTTCACAGTAAAGTTCACAGTAAGTTTTAAAGTTCACAGTAAGTTTTTGTGCAGCATCTTTAAATGGAATATCATTTTTATGACAGTGGTATATTAGATCAAATTAATTTTAAAGATTTTTTTAAATGCTGGTTCTTAATGGGCCAACTGCGTGTGTAAAATCTAATTCTATTTTAAAAGAGGTCTACTTGAAAGCGCCATGCTTAAAATGCAGAAATATGATAACAAATTTATCATGGCTGAATTTTGCATATGTATTTGTCAATAAATATCCTAAAAACAGAAATAGGAAATATTTTTCTGTGGGTTTACAATATTATTAACGGTTTCAACACAACAGGTTCTTATTCTTTCATTTGTACTAGGTACCTTTGTTTCTTTTGCATTTAAAAATTATTAATGAAAGCAAAGTAAAAAATACAGTAGATTTAAATAAGAAAAATGATTTTTACTTTTTAAAGTTTATACTTAAGTGTTTTAAGGAAAATATTATATGTGACACGAAAAGAAAAATCAACTGTGTTTTAGAATTATGTCGGTACAATAAAAATGAACATTTACAAGAAAGTATATTATTAAATATTTTTTGACAAACTGAAGTAAAGTGAAGAAAAAAAAATAAAATCAATCATATTAACTATAGTAGGATCGTATACGATGCAAAGTAGAGCAAAAAATTGTCGGCCTTTTATCAAAGGAAAATCGTGTCATCATTTTTAGGAGGCGTAAGATAAATCATTTCAAATTCAATGAAAAATCTGAAATACCGCTGCATACGCACTGTGTTCTGGTAATAGCTGTAGTCGCCCAGGTGCATCGAGTGTACGAACTGGTCGGTTATACGTCAAATACTAACCTGGCGAGCTTTGCCGTCAATTAGAGAGCGCTTCCAAAAAACAAGTAAACAACAGTGGCGCGTACAGAGGTAAAATGTAGTACATATGTGGAATTTAGGAAACAAATTGGATTTATAATATATTACATTTAAAATAAATAGTTTATGAGAATAAAGGAATTTTTGTAGCAACAAGGGTGCCAGACCTGAACTTATCCCCTCGTCCCTTCATAATGTATAAAGAAATTATTCCATTTGTAAAACCCTTAAAAGCGTACTTCATTGGTTCCCTTGACAGGCAATGATTTATTACTTTGCATCGAATATGATCCTACTATAGATGCTTTATGATAATGAACATTTTATATTGCATTTAGTGAAGTCAAGTACAGAGCATTCATAAATGCTTACAAGCCACGTGACCAGTAATTTTGTCTGGAATAGTAATTTTATTTCTTTCAGCTTGGCAAATAAATTTCGGTAAAGTTAAAACAATAATATCAAGATTACATAATATTCTGTTTCATTGGTTGTGATTGGTGTAATTTTTCAAGAGATTCTATTCGACCAATCAGCGATTGCAAGATTGTTGGGTTGCTTAAGCTCGTTGGTCACGTGGCTTGTAAACATTTATGAACATTTTTCGTCACGAAAAAATAAGTAAGTAAAAACAACTTACTGTTCAATATTTTTGACGCAATAGAATATTAATTTAAATTTTTTTAATATTTAACTTCTTTTTCAATGTTATAAGACACCTAACTAAAAAAAGTTCTAAATAATGTCATAAATAATTTACTTAATTACATGCAATATCTCGTTTACTAATAATGTTTAAAATAAGAACAAATAACTGTTGTGTTACTGTTTTTTTACGGGCTCTCGGTACACAAAATAATAATTTAAATGTACTATAATTCCATTTTTCATGAACAATTCAAATTACTTTATCTGGATGATATCTTTAACATGAGTCGACATCTGACACACCCTGTAAAACACCAAATTTCATAGTTTATCGGTCAAACACCTGTTATTCTACGAACTAAATATTCAAGTAGAGTAGGTATCATGAATTATTTTCGGTGAATTATCTTTGTATGCTCTAAAACATTACAGGATGCCACTATTATCGGCCATCATTTAAATGAAGACAAAAACAGTTTTTTCAAATAATCATTCCTCTTTTTGAGAATAGGCGTAAGCATTTTCAAATCATTAAAATTAAAATAATTTACCCATTTCGGATATTTAGAGAGATATAACGTTTCGCACAAAAAGTTTTATATATATTTTTAATAACGAGGACAGGTTTCAAGAATTTCAGGACTACATAGCAAACATGACTGACAAGAAAAAATTCATTGTGGGTTATAAAAACCGTTGTTTATGTAACAACCTGAATTTTATCGCATGTGAAATATTTGCGAGTTCAAGTGGCATATTTTCTGAATATGTAATATCTAGAGTTACCGTTAGATATCACACTATTTATAGAAACGTTAACATTTATCTAAGTTGCCGATAGAAGTAACAGTTCCTGACCTGTCAGCAAAGTAAGATATGTATCTGATAATGATTATGATGTCCATCGATTGAAACGGACTTGCTGATATTTATTTTAATTTATGCAATTTAATTGACTTTTAATGTTACACCTTATCAACTCCATAATACAGTTTTTGTGCAAGTTTGGAATATGTCCATTATTGTAAATAAATTTTACTACACCAAGTGTAGTAAAAAATGAATATCACTAATTAAATGTAAAAAAACTGCTTTACAGAGAATTAAAGGAATTAAAGAATTATATAGTAAAATATTCATCAATAAATAATTGATGATGTGGGCATTGAATGGTATATTCAAAATTTTTACCATAAACTTGTTTTATGTGTTATTGAGAATTATCATAATCTTCATTGATTAATGATCCATGCAATCAAAAATAATTCTTGTTTATAAATATTTGTGATATGTTGTGGTTCTCTAATAATAATTATCAAAAGCAAACTCATTGAATGAGCGTCTTCTGTTTCAGATGTCGATGTTTGCTGTCACATGCAGTAGGCCACAGGACAACGTACACCAAAATGAGGAAACCACCGTAGAGTAAGTGGATTCTGATATTATATTGCTTGCAATTGTGTAAATAATAATTACTAATAATGTAACATATATGTACATGTACCTAGTTTAGAAACTAAATTAAAAAGTAGCGATGTATCGCCTTTTGTATTATATTTCTTAGGTGGTTTAGAAAACTTCTTTCGGAGTAGTGAATATAGCTGGTCAGATTCTTGCGTGCAATAGTGTAGTTAATAGAAGATCTAGAAGTGCATCCAATTATATTTGGTAAGTTTTAGTCTCTACTAATATATTAATCAATTTAACTATTAACATTTGTATCTGTATAAAACTCGAACATGGGATCTACCAGTAACGTATTGCTTTAATTTTAGATTGGAAAAGCAAACAATCGTTGAAGTAACTCCAAATCTTCGAAAATATGTGGATCAATTTCCACACCCAACGCAAAGGAAAATAGAAGACAGTACCAAGGAAATCCTAGAGAAAATCGCAGAAGTCAATAGAAGACAAGGACTCGTGTCAAGAAGAGACAAACCAAACTACTTCCATTTCCCTTTTAGTTACTCAAGATCCCAAGAAGAACAAAATGCCCATAGTGGGCTCAGTAAAGAAAAAACATTAACAAGAAGCCCTTTCAGTAATCCAATTCTGGAATATTTGCTTGCGAATAAAAATCAAAATGAAGAAACAGACACAAAAGTTCAGTCACCTAACCAACAACCTGATAGTTATGTAGACAATTATGGCTCAGAAAAATCGTTTTCAACTAATGATTTAGCTGGTATAACTAAGGAAGACATTATTCCTGGCCAATACATAAAGAGGAAGATAGTACACCAGCAAACGTTTGCAATACCCATGCCAAGCATGTACCCGTCGCAGCCTAACTTTATGACACCTCAAAATATGCCGTCCAATGTAATGCCACCACAAAATATGCCTTCAAATGTAATCCCAATAGGGGTAAACTTACCACCAAGTTTTTCCCTCCAGCCCCCATCGATTAACGAAAACAAAGAAAAATCCAGTGCAGGTGAAGATAGGAAAAGTCTCAGCAGCTTAGAAAAGCAAACAGTGGATAACATTAAAAACATTGTATCTAACTCGCAAATGTTGCAATCACAAGGCTACCCTTTTTTGTATAACCCATACTTGCAGTATCCTCAAGCAAGTGCGGATCAATACCAATTCAGTGGTTTTAATACACCGAACAAAGTTATTCCCGAACAAACAGATGATCAATATGCGTATCGAGTGTATGGACCTTTTGCACTACCTAACTCTGATAAGGGTAGACAGAATTGGAATTGGCCAGGTGCTAACTATTTCCCAATTTATATTCGAGATCCCTTTCTTCAGTTTTATAATGCTATTACAAGCATGGTAGAATACGGACCTAGTGCCGGTCAAGGTGGACCATGCAAGCGACCGCCTAAGATAAAAAGCAAAGGTGAAACCGTATCCAGGGAAGGAAAGAAAGCTGGTTCAGAAAGAGACAGGGAACAAATTGTCGTAGAAATGGGAGACAAGACTTCCGGACAAATCACTATATACGGAGCCGATGATGAAGACAACAATACCAGCAGTTACTTAGATATTGAGAATATAGATATAGGAGGGAACAGAGAAAGTGGATTAAAATTTACAGTGAGTTTAGCAGCAGGTGAAAGAGAAGCTAAGGGATCTGAGGAAAGGATGATAGCATTGAAAACTGTATGGGATAAGTCTAAGGAATCTGTTAAATCAAGCGGGACTTATAACACTTCTAGATCTTCCAGTAAGCTAGAAAAGTTCTCGGAAAGTGCAAAGGACGTTAAAGCACCTCCATTTTTTAAGCCTCAAATAAAACCATCGACTACTTCACCTCCTAGACAACAACCCGTTCAAACCCCTCCTATACGAGATCCAACAGTGCACGTTGAAGAAATAGACGACGAATTTGACGACGATGAAAAATCCGAAGAAATTTCCATTTCCAACGATGGCAACAAAAAACTATTCAGCAGAGACAATACGGGCAGTGGAATCTTCATCCACAAATTGAAAGTTAGGAAGGGTGGTGTAGCTATTGCCGGTCCTGGTGGTATAGCCACGGCAGGAAGTGGTGGAACAGCCATTGTTGGTCCAAATGGAGTTGCTTATACTCAGCCGGACAGTCTGGCGATCGCCGGTTCCGGAACTAAAGTTGTGGCAGTGGATCCTACTATAAATTTGGGAGATTTGATAAACAATACTTCTCTAGGAAACAAGACTAACGCAGCAGCATTTCCTCCATCTAGAGTGGGAAAAGTGGTAGCCGTAGGGCCAGTAATATATTATAACAAAGGATGATCGCTGAGTTTACTTCAGTGTTGTACATAGAGTAAGGATGTAGGTGTGGCATGACTTCTAAAGGATTCCAGTTTAGGTCGTCTATTTTCATAAATAAATAAGAAACACAAAAGACTGAAAAAAATTGTGTTATTCCATTAATTATAAAAATTGTGAAGCTTTAAATGTGAGTGAATTTTTTCGCAATCTCTATTGCTTAAGTAGTTAAGAATGTACGAGTATCTACCAAAGAAGGAAGATGTTTAGATTCACCTCTATTATGTATCTACCAAAAAAGGAAGATGTTTAGATTCACCTCTATTATGACACTTTTAAATGCCCATATTAAAGTTTAAAAGTTAAAAAGAAAAGTATTAGACCTTAAAAAAGTCGAAAAAGAAAATAATTGACCAAAACATAACTGTCTTCTTTACAAGTCATTAATGTCGTAATTTAAAAATTTGTTAACATGTATTACCTCAGTTGGAATAAAATGTTTTCTCTACATATCTCTGTTATTTAACTACTTGCAGTTATTTTTTTTATACTTGCATACCTTCAAAATATTCATGTAAATATCTCTCTTTCCTTTCATACATAAATACTTCTAATTCAATATCATATTACTAACTATGTTAACACATATTTGCTTATACCATATTTAATTCTTATTTAAAGGATTATATTTTCGATTTTCTAGTGAGAGTTAAAAGAAGAAATCGATTTTTGATACTGAAAATTCTATTAATGAGTAAAATTAGTAATAAATGTATTTGAGTAAGTTCAGCCTTAATTTGAAAAAAATTAAAGTGGTCATATTTCTAGGTCCACAACGTCTGTGACAAAAAAATTTCTAACGGAATGTACGAATTTTCGAAATAAAATATTTTTTTAGTAATTAACTGATAATATAATCAGGCATTTTTTAAATTTATCACGAAATTAAATTTAATTCGTAGTGACATATTTCTAAATTTTAATTTGATATTAACATTTAATTTTTTAAGCTTCATAATACTACAACTTTAAAAAAAATTAAAATTTTTTGAAAAGTAAGAAAACACCTGTCTGTATTTTTGAGCTGGTTATGACATAAAATATTTGTCATATACAGGGGTGAGTCATTAATAATGGTACACAGCTTAATAGCATATTGTCAACGTCAAAATATAGTGATTGAGCCAAACATGCCTTATTCAATTAGGTATTGCTCCTTTTCGTTCTACAGGGTGTTAAAGTTGAAAAAATATTTTCCTTTTTTATCTATATTTTAAGTATGTATGGACTGATTGTTTTGAAAATTTGTAGTTTTACGTTTCTTGAGAAGGCAAATTAATATGCAAACAGTGTTGGGGCCACGTCTAGAGGGCGCTAGTTAGACTGTCCTATCAATGTAAAAATCTGTCTAACTTTTTGTATTTTACAATTTTGAATTTTTTAACTGCAAATTATTGAACTACGTTCAATTTTAAATAAAAAAGGTGTACTAGTTACAAATCGATAAACTAATCCGTTTTCGAGATACAGATGTTTTAAGTTTTTGAGATTCGGCGGGAAACATTACAGCAATTAAAGATTTTATTATGCATATCTTAACCAATTATTAACTACCAACTTCAATGCACTTTCTTAGCCTTTTATTAAGATATCCTCTTCTCTAAAAAATATCGACAAGAATAAAACTACTTCTTAATCAAATTGAGTAGAAAACAATATGGTATTGTAGTGACAGCTGTCAATTTATTATATCCATGCCTACTACTTTGTAAAAAATAATTTTCTAATTTAATTCCCATCGAATCTCAAAAACTTAAAATGTTTGTATCTCGAAAACAGTTGAGTTTATCGATTTGTAACAAGTGTACCGTTCTTATTTAGAATTGAACGTAGTTCAATAATTTCTAGTTAAAAAATTCAAAATTGTAAAATATAAAAAGTTAGACATATTTTTACATTGACAGGACAGTACAACTAGCGCCCCATAGACGTGACCCCAACACTTTTTGTATATTCGTATTTGCCACCTCAAAAAACGTAAAGCTACAAATTTTCAAAACAATCGGTCCATACATACTTAGATATAGATAAAAAAATATATTTTTTTTCAACTTTAACACCCTGTAGAACGAAAATGAGCAACAATTGATTAAGGCATGTTTGGCTCAATCGCTATATTTTGACGTTAACAATCTGCTAGTAAGCTGTGTACCATTATTAATTACTCAACCTGTATATGTGTAAACCTTCTCGAGATCTGAAAATTCAGTCTTCTTATCCTGGGAGTTACCTATTTATGTGTGCCTAGAAATCATCTGCTAAAAAATGGTTTGGGTCTTCTGCTTCATTATCAAAATATGACCACTTCAGTTTTCACCAACCGCTACTTATACTTATTCTACTACTACATTCACCAACCGCTATTTATTCACCATTCCCAAAAAATGCATGTGCAGTAAATATTATAAAATTACAACAGTTCAAAATTTTTTTGTCACATTATTATTTGTCAGTCGTCTTGTATCTCACAGATATAGGAAGTGTCCCACCGAAAAGTGTAACAATCTTATAACTTTCTAGTTTCTTGCTGTTTAATTCAATATTTAAAAAAAATAACCCACCCTCAAAATATTTATTTTGTTGTAATTTCATCAATATTTAATTTAAATATTTTAATTCACCTGTAAGAAATGTTTAAAAAGGTCATTAATAATATTTTCAATTCAATCAAATTGAATATTGCATGATTATGAGGAACTTCTGTTAATAAAACTATCCTAAAAAAAATTCCTAATATAAGTTTGATTATACCTTAGGCGACCTTGCTTTTGAAGAGAGTGGATAAGATTTAAGAGTCGTAAATTATATTTAGCAGGCGCTACCCTTTGAAAAAAAAAATAACTCGGACAAAAACTAAAAAATTGTACGTGTTAAAATTTAGGAGGAATGCTCTACACATCTCTTCTTTTTGCCCTCACTTAACACGACACAAGAAGGCTAATACCCGCTTTTTCTTTTCCTCAGATTATTAACTTTCCCTAACGGACTACGTTTTCCTAAATGGTTACCTCATCCAGACCATCAATCTCAGTTCTTCGGGAAGCTTCATCACCCCTTCATCTTTAATCCTAAAAGTCACTTTACACTCTACAACAACCTACACCCAACGCAATTAGAAATTTCTAGCTCTACTCAATACTATCACTTCCCAAGGTATCACAAAAATCCCGAAACCCTAACAGTTCAAGGACTTAACTCAGAACCAACTAGATCAGTGTCATCTAAAATAACTACACAAACACCAGCTGCCATGAACCTGAAACTGAAAGTTGAATCAACTACAACTCCTAAACCAGTAACCGCATCTACCAGAGAAGAAATAAAAGTTAGTGACATTTTGAAGCATAACAATCAGATACGTCTGCAAGCGATTAATTTGAAGGACCCATCATCTCTAGCTCCATACAGGGCGCATCCTTTGTTCCACTACGTGAAAAATAAAAATACTATTCAGAAAGATAAGATAATCAGTTTTAGGAATGAGGATCAAGCGGAAAATGATATTACGACGTTGATACTTAAACCAGTTGCAAGAGCTGTGGCTGGTGTTGAAGGCAAAGCCGTTTCAACCCCGGTATCAAAAGCCATTCTCCGACCTGGTACAAACGTAGACATTTTATTTGAACCAGAGGCTGTTGCCATTGCAGGAGCTGGAGGAATAGCTCACGCAGAAAGCAATCTAGAGATAAGTTATGAAGAGATTATTTGACCCGAATTTGTTTCATCAATAATATTGATTTACATGTACCTAATTAATTTTGTATATATTTTATAATGAGTGTAATGTAAATAAAATTATTTTTGTAGACTGATCATGAGTGGTAAATTCTTTATTTTACTGTTGTAATGCTGGTTATAGAAACTCTTAATATTCGTAATTGAAAAAGTAGTAAATTTCTATAGAATTTCCAAAAAAATCTTTATATGACATATTTTTAATTAACATACAACAGTTTTCCTTGTGAAATGTAATAGTACATATTTTTATCGTTAATTTCCGAACGAAAAAACTGTTTTGTAATACCATTTGTTTTCTAAATCAATTTTAACAGATGTAGGTACTACCAAAACTTGAAACATCAGTCCATGCTCTTTAAGGAGAATCCGATGCTTTATCGGAGGGGGGAGGGGGTGAAACGGGACGCGAGGGGCCCTATGCAAACAAAAATATTCTTTATGACTAGAAAGTAAGTACATTGTGATACTTGCTCGTAGATATCGATTAAAATCGTGTTTAAAATACTTAAAATTATATATTTCCATTTCTCAATTATTATTTTTTACTCAATATACATAAATAAATGCCAAAAGTATCAACAGAAACTTGGCAACAGCGCACGAGTATGCGGAGTTTATTATTTGTAAGTTAGAGAATTAGAACAGAAAATAGCAAAGCAGGAAAAAAGCTGTTGAAGAGAAGATTGTGGAACCAGAACCTCCGCACACAAAGCATGCACTGCTCCACTGCTCTTTTTGCAAAAAACTTTTACGTATTTTAGATTACCTACAAACTGTGATCACGAAGTGATTCGCGTGGGAAATGATTTAGTTACAAGCATAAATAGCATACTGCTATAATGCACTTCTGTGAATATAAATATTCCTTATAAGACGAAGTTTAATACAATTTTATATATGTAGCATTATACAGCGGCACGATGTTATTGTAGCCAAAAATATTATAAAAATATACTGAAATTATTGAAATGTTAATTTTAAAATGAAAAATGGTATTAAAAATGTCATAATTTATCAAAATGCATAAGATTGTTATAAGAGCTGTGATGCAAAGTATAAATAATTCAATATTTATATGATGCTAAAATTTTTACTTCTTGTATTGAAAGTTTATCGTACTTTATAAAAAAAATATATCAAAAAACATACTTGGTTTGAAACTTTACCATTTTATTTTATTATTTCGTCCAATTTTTTTGAAACTTCGCAGGTTGGTAGGACATGTAGATCAAAAGTCTCAATGGGCACAAAGCCCCAAATCCACCCCTTTCCCCCCTAAAACTGCCTGCAAGTAGCGGGGAGTTTACTTGTCGTTTTATGAAAAAAAATTTCACATAAAAGTTGTTTATTTCAATGAAATCTAAAAAAAAATATTCTTGTTTTTTCGAAAAATCAATGTTTTAGCTTTAAAACGCCACCAAAGTTTAACACAGAGTATACGTATGATAGCTGTAGATATACAAGTGTGTTAAGTTTAACAGCGTTTTACAGCTTGAATATTACTTTTTCGAAAAAATCACAAAAAAACCTTTTTTTAGATTTAGTCAAAATAAATAACTTTTACATGAAATATTTTTTCATAAAATCACAAATAAACTTTCTACAGCTATATAAACAATTAAATTGTTAATAACAATTTTCCTGACCCGATTTCGTAAAATTGAGTTGCAGATTCGAATTCAGTGTGAAAAAAAAACGTGCAAAAAATATACGTGGAAATATACGTGCAAAAAATACGTGCAACTATAAAATACAGTAATCTGGAAAATCCGTAGGCTGATTCGTAGGGGGCGGGGGGTGTGTGAGGGGCGAGGTCAAATGGGGCAGTTTGATAATCAAAAATATGGTTGTTTGGGATCGCTGTTGGGTTGATTAAAAAAATAAATTGTTTTACATGCAGAAATTAGTTAAATTGGAGGCAGTTTTTGGGGTGGCAGGGGTGGATTTGGGGCTTTGTGTAAATTAAGACTTTTGATCTACATGTTAAGAACTCTCAATCTGCGAAGTTTCAAAAAAAATGGCCGAAACCCACTTCCCATAAGAAAAGTGCGTGGTCCTTTATATCAATCAGCATAATTCTTATCTACGATGTTGGTTTGGATTGAGACATAATTCTTCACACTAAATGTCATTTTATTTATGTGGACTGGTTGTTTTCTATTTTTGAAAATTGTAGTACCTCCCATGTTAAAAATAAGAAAATTTTAAATTTTAATGAAGAAAATTCGCTTTCATTTTTTAAATGTTGTGTTACATCCTGCACATCAAAGAAGCAACATTTTATTACACCAAAAAACATTTTAACAAACATCTCTCTTTAAACTTCTTTTTTTCCACAAGTAAGTACACTACTAATATACGCCCAATTTCTTCAACTGAAAATTAACTTTGAATAAAAAAAAATAAAAAGTGAAATCTGTCTACCTACTTGCAATTCGTCAAGCATCCAAGTTACCCAGTAAACTTGCAATAGGTACCGTTGTATAACTTGAATACATAATAAATTTCTTAATGCTGTTTTAACTATTTTCTGTAATAATTAACATATACATATATTAACTTGGTTTTAATAAATCTAATAAACTGTCCTTATTTACAATTCCATTTTAGCATATTAACTGGAGCCATCACAGTTTTACTTAATTTTTTACAGAAAATCGGAAAAAATTACAATAGTCCCATTTTATGGAGGAGGTAAGGGCCAAGCTCTTCAAATAGTGGAAAACAAGGAAGGCCAAGTAACCACAACCATTATAAAGATACCAGAGAATTATTCAGAAAATTTAGAGGAAACTATAAATACAGCTGAACTAGAAAATCCACCGTTACCCTCGAAATATGAGCTTGATGAGTTCGGAAACTACGTAAGAAGTATACAAAGTACTGCTCTCAAAGTGATCAAGTTACAAGAAGCCGCTAAGAGAAATGGAAAGTTAAGTGAAGAGGAGGAAGTCATTTATAAGGAAAGTATGGACAGTTTAAATCAATCGGCAAAAAATCTGGCAAAACTTCAGGAAGAGACTAATCCGTTGGATTTCGAAGGTAGGGAAGGACTAAGCGCTTGGTTTGAAAGAAGACAGACGAACAAGAAAGACAAAGACAAAAATAAACGTAAAGAAGACGAAGATAAGAAAAAGAAAGAAGAAGATAAGAAACGCAAAGAGGAGGAAGACAAGAAGAAGGCAGAAGAAAACAGGAAAAAAGAGGAACAGAAGATAAAGGAAGAGGAAAGGAAGAAGGAGGAAGAAAAGAATAAAGAAGATAACCGAAAGAAGGAAGAAGAAAAACAGGAGGAGGAGGAAGATGATGACGATGACAGTATTACTATTAATTTACCACCGGAAGATGCTTCAGTCGCTGAAGCTAAGCCTGTGGGACTTGCAGTTGCAGGTAAGAATAATGATTTTAAATAACTACTGAGTGCACTTGGCCATCTAGGAAAAGGGGTTTCCCAGTATTTCTATAACTTTGATTTAACATTAGGTATTATCTTTAAAGTCCAGCGAATGTTTGCATTTTGAATGACATCCGTATAATCATCTTATATTTTGTATACCTTTACTTGTAACAAAAACTTCATAGTGATTTGATCTCCTTCATTCATCTTTTAATTTTTGATATAGGTATAGGCATTTATATTTATTTCATTTAATAGATCATTCGTCCACTAACTTTATTTCTATAAAAAATGTGTTTTTTTTAATGTAAATTATACATCTATTGTAGACAAGATTTTCACTTATGTTTTGGTACATAGATCTGTCCTCCTCCTGTTTTATTTGTTGAGCTTATTAAATAAACAAATGAATGTAAAAAATGTAACTTTTTTAGTGGAACCTTTATAGTTTTACATGTTTAGATGGCGTTTTTTTTCTTAGGATTACAGTGTTAGGGGTTGGATAGTTATAATAATAAGGGAGATATGATAAAAATGGTGTACAAAATAATGACATGACCATAATGACAAAGCCTGATGATAATCTTATAATACATTGCGCTTATCGTATACTCCTTTGATCATGGCTCCATTATTATTAGATTTAACAAGCTTTATATTATTGTCATCTTAGGAAAGTGTTCTATTCAAATGTGTACTACATGTTCATTAACAAAAAATATGTTGGTTTTGACTACACTATTCGTTATTCGTTTATTTATTTTAATGAGTTCAAAAGGTGGTATCGGAAAAGCCCTATAAGTTTTGTATTAAAAGTTTGCTCTAAATCTTATACTAAGGTATCAAACTTCATACAGGGTGACCTTGAAAATGATTGACAACGCTTGACCACAGATTCCTTGGATGAAAATAAGACTATTTAGCCTAACTTACAAAATTTTGATATCGTTTATGTATTTCGAGTAAAATTTATATTTTTTACACATTAAATAATATAAAATGAGTTTAAGATAATTAAAACAGTCTAGTACTAGGTTATGTATGTTTAGAAGGATATATCTCAGTAGGCGTGCACTTTTGTATATAGGTAAGTTATCCTAGTCTTATTTTCATCCAAGGAACCTGTGGTCAAGCGTTGTCCATCCTTTTCAGGGACACCCCGTATAAATGAAATCTCTATACAAATTGTTGACTGTAGCAGACTTATCAATGTCAGCTGAGCTAATAAGCTTAATATCCTCACATGTGGTATTACTAGTACTTTTAATAGGTATCTTTATATTTATAGGTGAAGGTGGTGTAGCAGCAAGTAAACCAATAGCAACAGCTGTAGTCGGTCCAGGAGGTTTGGCCATCGCCCGACCTGTGGGGACCGCTATAGCGGGTGTTTCCCCCGAACAAGCCCTAATTCCCATTCAAGCTCAACAATACATAGCTGGAACGAAATCGAAAACTACCTCATCGATTGCGAATAAACAAGATTCCGAATTTATAAATAGGCTAATCAGCAGATATCATCAGAACTGACTCAAGAAGTAACTAAATACATTTTAGTCTCTCTTCCCGTCCATTAGACAGTACAGTTTTGCCCATGTCAATGGAACGGTTACCCTAGATTATTTATTGTTTAATTAGTGCCTTAAATTATTTTAAATAAGTAATAAATATATTTTATTAAAAAATATATATTATATTTGTTTCAATTTATAGATGTGAGTACAAATTCAATTTGCATAAAAATATCAGAAAATCAGTACAATTATAGCATTATTTAGTGGTAATTATACATTTTAAGTAAAAATTAAATATAAAAAAAAATAAAGCAAGCATAATTTGTTGTCGCTCATTGTTTTAGAAAAATTAGATTTACCTATAAATAAATAAAATTGCATTTAGAATTATATACAGGCTCGGAAAGTCCCCATGGTTCATCGGCCGTTACGTGAGAGCGATAAAGAAAGTCATAGAAATCCGTGCGATAGAGAAAGATGGCTATAATGAAGACGTCTAATAGTCACCTCCCATTTCGCCCTTCCACAAATAAGATCCATTTCTTATTTGTGGAAGGGCGAAATGGGCGGTGACTATTAGACGCCTTCATTATAGCCATCTTTCTCCATCGCACGGATTTCTATGACTTACTTTATCGCTCTTACGTAACGGCCGATGAACCATGGGGACTTTCCGACCCTGTATATTTACTTAATCTTCTTCAACAATCGAATTTGAAAAATATTACAAAAATAATTCCTACGCTTACATCAAAAAGCTGTTAATAGTCGGCCGAGATTATTTCTGATTAAAATTTTTATTTATTACAAATTTTATAAGTTTCTCCAATTAATCCAAGTTCAAGGTTAAAAATAACATGCAAATTTAATTTTTTAATGTTTCTTTCCAAAATCTATCTAAATCTACATCATAACACATTGTAAATATTTATTATTATTGTAAGTACAGGATGATTTTAAATTATGCATTCATTTTAATATTAGTTTCTGTACTTTTACTATATTTTAAAATATGTTAAGCTAATTCAAGCCTAAGAGTTTTTTTGTCTGAAGAAGATTTTACGAAAATTTTTAGACTTGATTTGAATAAGTTTATTAACTTTTAAGATAAAGTATATCTTATATCCCATATGATTAATTTCATAACTAGCTACAAAATATATTAAAATAATCTCTACAGGGTGTCAGTAGATAAGTTAGGCCGGTTCTGGACCGGATGTGACGTCACATGGCCAGTGTCCATCGAGTTCGACAAGATGGCGGCGGTCTGCGTAGGGATAAGATGGCTGCGGTCTGCAGCGGATGTGACGTCACAAGAATGGCGGCGTAAGATGGGTGCGGTCTGCAGCGGATGTGACGTCACGGGGGGCGGTTACCTGTGTAGGCTGAGGATAGGTGTTAGGCCGTTAGGAACAAGATGGCGGCGGTCTGCGTGGAAGGTGATTGGT